GGGATACCCATGATTTGTCGTAAGCACCTGCAATGAAAAGCGTCTAAACGATCTCTGTCCGCCTTGAGAAGCCACAAGGAATCTAAAGAGTATAGAAGCTTGCTGACCACACAACTGGAATATATGTCAAGCTTTCTGCTTTTACCAATTGCTGCGTGCGCCCAAAGATTCTGTAGCTGCTTGAATGTGTTCGTGCTTTCGCCAATGCGGCGGGATAACTCATGCTTTGCCCGCCCATCGCAAGACACGATCCCACCCAAGTAGACGGCGTCCCTGACGTTCTTCACCGGCTCGCCCGTGGGCATTCTAATCGTATCTGCACATCCGACTTGGATTTGTACCGTCTTGTCCCAATTCATTTCCATGCCATATTTTTGCCCTTCCAGAATGATCGCCTCCAACATAACATGTAAATTGGATATATGTTTGGATACAAGCAAAGTGTCGTCAGCGTAGAGGATATCACGGGTAACAATATATTCGGGCTCGCTTTCCAGAGCCAGAGGGGCAAGGGCGTCGTGCAGCATGACACTTTGTACTGCTACAAAAAGGTATGGTGACAAGGGACACCCCTGAGCGATGCCTGAGCGTTGTTGCCTTTCACTGGAGCGCCCACAATGGTCCACGATGGTGAAAAACCGCTCTGAATAGATGCCTCTGATCATGTCCACCATAGGGGATGGGACGCCGAAGCGTTCGAGGGCTTTGCAAAGACAGTCCGGCTTGAGGCGGTCGAAAGCTTTTGCCCAATCCAGCAACACCAGTATGATTCCATCTCCTTTGTTTTGATACGCTGCGTCCACCATCCTCCTGATAAGCATGAGGGCGTCTGATGTACCACGCTTTGGACGGAAGCCGAACTGGGATTCTCGCATGCGTCCTTCGGCTCCTCCTTGGCCTTGTACCCCACAGCTAACAAGGAGATGGGGCGGTAGTTGCTGGGGAGCGTGGCGTCGCCCTTCTTGAAAAGGAGGGACACGCTCGCTGTTCTCCATGCTTTCGGCAAGCCTTTCTGTTCCCAGCATTTGACGCACATCTGCAGTAAGGCTTCGCATGCGTAATCGTTTTGACCAACAGCTTTCCAATATTCTGGCGGGATATCATCAGGTCCTGCTGCTTTCCGGCTTTTCATTTTACGAAGGACCGTCTGCAGTTCCAGTTTGGTGAATGTGGTCGTGTTCACGCTGAGGGTCGGCCCTAAAGCTCGCGTCGAAGATGGTGTCAGCTCTGGGAAACGTACCTGCCACTGAATCTTTTCAAAATAATCCGCCAAAGCGCCGGGTCGTGCAGCGGTGTCGGTAAGGTGCCCATCCATGTCTTTCACGCCCGCGTGTTTGGTAGCAGCAGGCCTGCGTAATTTGTGCACTGCCTCCCAACTCCCTCCCACCAAATATTTGCCCATCCACATTCGTTTGTCTTCCCGGCCTGCTCGGCGAATTGCTCTGTTCAGCAACTGTTCATTGTAATAGTCTTGACAATGTCTGTAAGAGTTTCTCCGGTCAATTAAGTCAAGAGTGGTCTGAGATATCCATGGGCGCTTCGCAGTGGCAGCCCGTGCCGGCAGGGTCGTTGCAGCCGTCGCGAATGCAATCTCCAAATTTGCTGCCATAGAGTCTAGGTTTTCGACGTCGTCTGCAGCTCTCCATGTGTCATAAAATGTTGAAGTAAATGTTGAAGCCACCCTGGAGTCGCTCAGAGAAGAAATATCTTTTCGAGGCTGGCGAAGGTCAGCCTTCGTGGAGAAGTTGATGGCCAGGTCGACCAAGAGCAAGTAGTGATGGCTGTTGAGCGCTGCATCCCGGCATACCTGACATGATGATACCAATGGAACGCAAGAACCGTGACACAGAACGTGGTCAATTTGTGCGAAACGATCCGGCGTAATAGGGTCTGTTTGCTTTGTTCCCAAGTCGCGGTAAGTTACCAACTTCTCATTTGGGAGGTCAAAGAAGGTGTTGGCAATGACCATGTCTGTTGCGATACAACACTCCACAAGCAATTGTCTATTCGTGATACATGTCGGAGTCTTCTTTGGAGGGCTCGCCAAGAAGACGTGCTTGCCAATGACGTTGTCTTCCCCCGTATTCTGCTGCAAGATTTTGGCGTTGAAATCCCCCATGGCCACGGTCGTACTATGAGACGTGGTAGGCTTGATGAGTGTCTGGAGGTCGTTGTAGAAATCTTGACGCTCTTCCGGATCGTGCCCACTGTGGGGGGCATACGCAGAAATCAATGTCAGCATGCCGCCCGCCACTTTAACACGCAATGTAGCTGTTCTCGAAGAACATGCCCTGAAAGCCACAACTGCTGAGGCAGCCCATGGTGCTACGATAAACCCGACTCCGGCAGTAGATCGGACTTTGACGTCACATTCGCCAGAAAGGCATATGAGGAAGCCGTCGTCGTCTTTGTAATAAGCTGTACCATTGAGTTGCGTTTCTTCAATGCAAAGAATTGCTACACTTCTGTCGCGCATCATTTTGGTGAGCTCCACGAACTTGATAGAAGAATCGCCCCGAAGTCCCTCGACGTTCCACGTCCCGAGAACCTGCGAGGATAGTGGGGTGCAACTTCGGCGTGGTCTGAACCAGGTGGAAGTATCCCGGGCAGACTGCGATAAGCTTGGCGGCTGCTTCGGATTTCCATTGCCCTGCATATCCAAGTATGTATGTTGATGTCGTTCGTCCTTCGCTGAATTTGGCGTTTGATCAATATCTGAACCTTGCAAGTCAAAATGCGGATGTGAGGAAATACCAAACGAGTTATGTATGTTGTTGCATTGTCGTGAAACTCTGGGTGAGATACTCTCAATCTGCATGCTCGGTACACCCGCAATGCCTACTGAGTGAAGTGGAAGATCATGGGTATCAAGGAGTCGAGGAACTTGTGGGGAGAGATTTGGCCAGATGGTATCTTTGCCCATTCTCGCCGTTGACATCGTCGGTGATTGTCTGTCGGCTCCGGCGCCGGCTCGTTCAAGGTCTCCGTGATGCTCTTGTCCACGGGCGTGGTCAGGTGAGGGTGTAGGGGGCAAGGAGGGAGCTCCAGAACAAGGTATTGGAAGATGTGGTGGAGAAGGTACAGCAACAGACGGCCACTGCAAGACGGTAGCTTTGCCCGGGTTCGTGCGTGTGGTCGTGCCGCCCAGCATGTCCTGTACGAGGGTAGCTTTGCCCAACATCGTACTCATACCAACTCCTATCCAGATGTCTGTGTCTAGGCCGGCTCTGGAGTCCGGCCGCAATCCCTAGTTCCCGCCGGAACCTTTGGAATGACCTTTACCTTTCATGCCCTTGGACGCTTTGTTCAAGAGCGACTCGCACTTCTCCGTGAGCTCCTTCAACTTTGGATGCTGTTGGAGTTCCTGCCATTCTCCCCATTCCTTCGTCCACTCGTGCTTAAGACCTCCTCCCCCTCCTTCCGAAACGGTCAAAGCAAGCTCCCCACCCACGTGCACCTGATACGGGAACGTGTCATTGACCCTCACGGTGTACTCGATGTTCATGTGCTGCTGCAGCATGTACTTGAGGCCGAAGCACAGATTCCGCGCAGCCCTATCCACAGGGTGCCTGTCAGGAGTTGCCCACACGCCGTTCCCATTTCGGGACAACTTGGCACTCTTGATCATGGCCACGGCGGTGTCCCTGTCCAGCGTGGTGTCGAACTCTGCATACAATATTGTGGAGGTGTCCCCTTTGATGTACATGTTGTTCGGGGTAGGCGCAGATAGTGCCGACAACTGGTCTTGGAGCCACGCCGACGCTGTGTTTAGCAAGCCGAAACCATCCAAATTACCAAACACTCCGGTCAACGCACGTTTCCCATCCACATCTTGTGCACGACTACCTGTAGATGTGTATCGCTGCTTTAAGGCCGCCATCTCTTTCTCCAAATTTAATAACTTTGCTTGCGAGGCTGTATCCACTGATGCTTCGGACGTTCGTCCCGAGACCGGCTGGGACGTGCAGTTCGACTCCAATAAGCCAATCCTCTTCGTCAAGTCGTCAATCTCGTTCTTCAATGGGTTGATGGCTAACTGGAGGTCATGCTTTGAAATACCATGCTGCTTAATAGCCATAATATCTTTCTGGATCGGTCCCAACTGCTCGTTCAAAATCTCCCGGAAAGTATCTGTCGTCAGTGGTTTAGGGGTAGTGTTCGCAATGTTGGAACCGCTCGCCACACTAGCTTCCGAAAGACGTTGCTGGAATTGGTCTTGTAGTGCTTGTTGTCCTTCGTCGTCGACTTGAAGTGGTGAGTTTCCCGTGCGTCGCATTTTGTCTGCTGTTTTGAGCACGCCTTTCACAGGAGTTCCCATGTGGTGTTTCTCAGCCGGCATATTCACGTATGTGGCAAAAGACACGAGCACCCAGAAGAGATCGAAAACCTGTGTGGTGAAGGAAGGAATGTAAGGGTAGAGAGCAACTTGAGTCAGGAAACTAAGGGGGTACAGGTGCGATTGGGAATTTAAGGGGGTACAGCTCCTGAGCTCCTGAGCCCCACAGCTCCTTGAGCCCCACAGCTCCTTGAGCTCCTGAGCCCCACAGCTTCCGCCTTGGGCAGCCACTATTTGTTCGAATGCAGTAGTTGTTTAGCGTGTTGTTATACATTTTTTGAGCTAGCAACAACTCAAACGCAGTCGGTCTATATGGCCCATCGCTGATCCAAGACATCTGCGCGGACCTCCGACATTTTGTTTTGGTATATGTGTGCGATTCCTTTACATCTGCCCCGCTTAACTACCAGAAGCGGAAGGGGTGGCACAAGTGCAGTCACTTGTGTCTCGGTGGCTTGGGTGGCCCATGTATTTGTTGCGCAGGTTTCATTTTTGCTCTAGGATGCCCTCGCCGGGATTCGTTTCACCGCCACCCTGAGGTTATTGCCCACCCCTCTCCTTGCGTGATTTTGGGGTGGAGGTGGACGGGAAGGGTGGGGTGGGGGGGGGAAGTTTTCCATATGTGTTGATGTCAAGGGTTGATGCATGTGTAGTGAGTGCCCAGGAGTAATGATGTTCATGGACTGCCAGGCGCACTCAAGCCCGATGGCCCTGCTCCTGAGTGGCCGCGCCGAGCTCCACACCACTGCGGCCGCCTCAGCACGGCTCCACGGCATGTCGTGCGGAACCGGGGAGATTCATAGTTTCGCTTCCTCGGAACCGCAGCAGGATCTGGCGGCGGAGCCCGGCAGGGCTCGGGAGCGAGAAAGCTTTTTTCTCCTCACGGCATCCGCGCCCGGTCACCAAACTAATTTCAAGCCGGCTCGAATATCGTTCGAGTCGAATCGGAGAGCGAACGGGGAGAGCAGGAGAGGGGAAGCGGAGAAGGGGGAGCAGGTGACAGATCCACTAAGAGTCCGCCAGATTTCACATGTCGGTCGAGGCCAGTGTTCTTTGGACATACAAAGTATAAAGAGGGGACTGCGGCGAGGCTGCATTACAGTTCAGTCGGGTCTGATCAATGATGAGTAGGTCGACCCTATGAAGCCAAGCGTGCCCGTGTGGCCTGTCAGTCGATCTCGCTTCTTCGGAAGACTCGGGCCGTCTCGGGTGTCCCCTGCAATCGGTCACGACTGTATGACGAGCCGGTTGGGAGCATCGTCGATTGCTTGAAGCTATGGGGTCCACTGAGAGGTGCCCGACTAGAGCCCAGGAGTGCGCCGCCCGCGGCTCGCCGCAGCAGCACCGTGGCTGCTGCTCGGGACTGACCCCTTCCTGCGCTGGGGTCTGCACAGATCGCCCAGTCGAGGGTTTTCCTCCGCCCCGCCTTGTTCCTGTGCCCGGCCTCTACGCCAGACCATCCACGCAGGATGCAGATGTTTGCTGTCCACGAGGGGCCGAGGGCACGTGTTCCTCTGCCTCCCTCTCCTCCCCCTCCCTGTCCTCCTCGGGCGTCGCTTTCAGGACCTCTATGCTCCAGGCCTGCCAGATGGGGTCAGAGCAGATCGGGTTGGAGGATCGCGCCGCATCGCTGATGCATCGCGGATGCTGGTCGACGTGGAGCCTGATGTTCACCGCGCCGACGTCGCCGACGCATCGCCGACGTCGCCGATGCCTCGCCGATGCTTTGGCTGTGCGGCGCGATCCTCCGACCCCGTCTACTCGGACCCCACATTGGAGGCCTCTATATGCGCTGGATCACGTAAGGTGGCAGCCTGGATCGAACTCTCGAGCTTGCCAGAGCTCGGGACCACATCCGCCTTTTAGGGCGGTCCTGGCATTAGTTTGAGGGTTCAGTGTCCATCGAATTTTCGTCCCGCCAGATTTTTAGACAAGGTCCCTTCATTTTTCTGATGGTCCTGTCAGTCTATTTAGTTTGGGTCCCCCAATTTCTAGTCTTTCCCGACCGATTTTCAAAGGGGAGCGTTGTGTCTTGGGAGCGGGGGCGAGACGTTACGATGTGCAATTTGAGCAATGCATCGTCCGAGGATTGTTTCGTTGTGTTGCTCTGGTCGGTCCTGTCATGAACAGGGTTGTTCTGATCCGCACTGTCATAGTGTGTGAGGCGTCTCCAGGGCTTGTTCCAGTCTTGCGCGTGCGAGGCTTTACATCGGCTCGAGCCTCGATGCTGTCCAGAGCTCGTGCGCTCCGAGTTCTCATTACGTAGGCCGCCCCGCCGTTTTGCACAGGCCGATGGTAAATCTTTAGTATTCGGGAAGAGGTTCGGGGGATCTGGGAGCTTTCGTATTCATTTGTTTTGTTGCTCATACGTTTCAGAGCCTTGTAAACGCGTCCTGGGTGGTGCGCAGTCCTGCGTCATGCGTGTTGGCGGCCCAGGTTCCAGAACCGTTTCCTTGGCCCCTCACAATCCGTTGGCTGCCTGGGGCCACGAACTTCGGTGCTCCGAGTCCGAGGTGACGAGATGTACTCAGTGACAGTATAAGATGTGAGTTCACGGGGCCCCTTCATTCTCACATGTGCCTACAGCCTACATCTGCACCCGCCATTACTTTGCATATGACCGTAGCCTATTGCTGGATCTTTGCATATACCCAGTCCTAAGCCGAAACGTCTGCCTGCACCCACAGCCAACAGCACAATTGCCCGCCAACCTACGCAACACGCCACAGACACAGTGTTAAGATGGTCAAGCGAATCGCAATTGACTTAAGTCTTGCTTGTCAATGTGTCATCAGTCTTTCTCAATGTAGGACCACTATGTTGAAGGCATGCGTGGCAAGCTCCTACAGGATGTGTGCTCTTTTATATCGTTTCGCATGTTGCATCAATGGAGCAATGCCAAGGCTGTTTTGCAGTCTGGCACGGAGAACGCGAACATGAATTCGATTGCGGATCCGTTCGACATGCCTTTCGAGGATTTGTTGTGGAAGACTCACGGAGATGTGTCAGCGAATCGAGTCAGAGCCAAATTCACAGTTCAAAGTTCACAGGCCACTCACGGGCTGCACGCATATCGCATCTACGGAGAGTTGAACGATTGCCTCTGATGTTGCGTATTTTTGTAGTTGAGCAGCTTCAACAGAACTCTCATTCGTATACATGCTGTGCTCGTGTAGTGCTCGTTGTCTGGTACGTGCGTGCCTATTGCGAACGGATGAATCGGCGTTTTGCCACATGAAAGAGTCCAGTCAATGAACGTAATAGCGAACATCTGGTCGGCAGTGTTCTGGTTTTGTGGCGTAAAGAGAGCAAGTTGTCATATTGGCTACCGTCGGCTAGGGTGCAGGCCTGGGTCAGGCGGGACAGTTGTGAGGTAGCTGGGAGGCGGTCGTGAGGCAGTCGCGATGATGATAGGAGGAGGGACAGTTGGGATAACGGCGCCTCCCGCCCGGCCCAATTCCGCCCAAAATCGGTCCTGGGGCCATTCCCGGGGTCCATCTTAGCTGTTTTCTCGAGGCGGATCCAGCCCGTCTCGACGAGAAGCCTCCTTGAGGCTTAGCAGAAAGGTGCGAAACACGGAAGCGCATCGCTCGGACGTGTCATGTTGCTCGAGTAGGACCATCGAGAAGCATTTTGAGTCACCGTGCGGAAAAAAAACATGCACGAAATCGAAGATTGCACGGGGATTGGACGTCCGAGCGATGGCGCGATGGCCAGTCTCCGAATGATGCAGGCACGTGGTGGCCGTGCTGCGGCCTTCGCGTCGAACTGGGCCTCCCAGGTGGGGCATGGGTAGACAGGGTGGGAGGATCGCGCCGCATTGCCGATGCATCGGCGATGCGGCCCGATGTGGAAAGAGATTTTCTCCGCCCGGGCGCCGACGCTCCACCGACGTCGCCGATACATCGCCAATGCATCGCAATTGCATCGGCGATCTCCGACCTCATCTGGAACCCATCAAGGAGGCCTCTCGTCGAGGCCTTCCAGACGGAGGGGTCAGAGCGGATGGGGTCGGAGGGTCGCGCAGCATCGCCAATGCATCGCCGCACCGCAGGTGCATCGGCGATGCGGCCCGATTTTCAGGTCGATGTTTTCCAAGCCAACGTCGCCGATGCGTTGCCGATGCGTGGCAATGCATCGGCGATGCGGCGCGATCTTCCGACCGCACCCCCTCTGGGATTTCATTTGCGGACTCTCGGTGACCATGGCATCTCGGGCAGCCGCGTCGCGAGCGTGGGCAATTCTTGACGGTTCGCGTGTCCCCACCAGTCGTTTGTGCGGATTGTGCGTGTAAGACATTCTCCGTCTCGGCATGGCATTACACCGTGGTGGACTGGCGCCGCGGCGCACAGTTGGCAATTCCCTGGCACTTTGCCACAGGTCTGCATGATGCTCGAGCTTCCCTGGGCGCTGCAGTTCAGCCAGTCAGCCCCCCGCCGCCGCTGCCGCAGTTGCTGCATCTGAGGGCTGGCCCGGCCGGCTCGCACTGCGCCTTGTAGCTAATTAAGCTTGCCCGTTGGCCCGGACTCCCTTCTCGCCGCCTGCGCTTTCGCTTGCGGCTGCGACCAAACAAAACTGTCCCCACCAGTATCACAAGTTTCCGCGGCTGTTAGCCGCCCCCCTCTGCAGGACGCCTCAGGCCCTCCGTGCTCCCCCCGGGGCGCTAGGGCCCAAAGGTCCCGCTCGACTTCGGCTGTCCCGCGTCGGAGTGGGAGGACGGGCTGGGTGGGCAGCTTCCGATACTTCGGTTCGGCCCGCGGCTGGCGTTTCGTGTTCTTCCTGGGCATGTTCTCCGTTGGCGCGGGCCCCGTTTGGTTTTCCTGACCGCTGATTCATGGTCGCGGTACTCCATGGTCGTTCCTGGCGGGCTCACGATTCCCGACGTTTGGCATCCGGTGTTCGCGGAGTTCAGGGCACACGCTGGTTTCTGGCGCTGAGCATGTACCTTGAGAGCGTCGTGCTCCTGGTGGTCCCGGGCTCGATTCAGCTCCTCTGAGCGGCCTGAACGGCGTTGCGTTAGTCTCCTGCTTCTCCTCCTTCGTCCTTTGCTGTTTTCCCAGCTATTGTTTAGGCTCTTGCCCCCTGCTGCGTAGGCCCGGCGGTCGCGTGATTTACGGACGCCGCGCGGCTGTCCGCTAGCGGTCGGTAAACAAAAGTATCCCCGCCAGCCTTGCTGCAGCGTCTTCTGCCCCACGTAGGCCTGGCTTCCTTGCGACCCCTTTGACGCCGCGCGGTTGTCCGCTTGCGGCTGCAAGCAAAAAGTACACCCGCCAGCCCATCCAGAAACGATCAGCAGGAGGTTGGTGAATCAGGGGCGGCTGGACGCATGCAGTCGCGCAGCCGTCTTCGAGAAAACAAGGATCACACATAGCTCCCGCGTTGACGTTTACGATGGAGCTCCGTGCGAACTACGATGGTGCTTCGATGAGGGGGTGAGGGGTGTTTCGATGAATCGTAATGGCTGTTGCGTTGGATTTGTATCTTAAGCCCGCGTGCGCTCCGAAGTTTGGGGCATATTGGGGCTCTCTTGGGATTCTCTTGGGCCCCTCTTGGGGCCTCCTGGGGTTCTTTCGTGGGGCTCTCCTGAGGTCCCCTCAAGGCCTTTTAGGGGTTTCTCGGGGCTCTTTTGGGGCGTCTTGGGGCCTTCTTGGTTTTTTTTGAGGGGGGGTTGGGGGCCTTGTATTGGGGCTCTTTTGGGATGCGTGAGGGGCCTCTTTGGACCGTCTTGGACCCTTTCGCTAAAAAAGAGGGCCGTTCTGACCCCCCATCGGAGGCTCAAAAGTGGCGTCCTGGGGACCTGTTGGTCCGCTTTGGGGGCCGTCTTGGGGCACTTTTCGACCCCCGTTGGCGCTATATTGGGTTATATGGGGGACATTTTGAGGCCTCAGGAACTCATCGGAGGCGAAAGCGCGATAAGGCAAACCACATTGGTTGCATTTGGGTTTTTGATGATTTTGACCTCTTGGGGGGGTCCTCGGAGGCTTCGGGCAGCACTGGAAACCGTCTTGGGGCCGTCTTGCGGCAATATGGACGCGCGTCGGAGCCTATATTGGCCCATTTGCCGCTATCGTGGGCCATCTTGGAAACCACCTTGCGCTTTCAGAGGCCCTCTTGGAGCCATCAGGGGATCTTGGTCGGCCCCCCCCCCCGTCCCCGTCCAAACGCTGCTATAGGACGGCCCCCCCCCGTCCAAACGCATGGAGGGGGGGGTTAACGGGATAAACCACCCAAGCAGGGAAAAGGAGGTTGGACAAGGAACAACTCTAGACCCCTTGCGCCCACAGGGTTGGTGGGATTCGCCGGGCGGCCACGAGGGGGTGAAGCGCAGCAGGGCGCGGGCTGAGGACGAACACGCTGACCAGGGGCCGCGACAGGGCGCGACAGGCTCAGCGGCAATGTAGTCGAGCGTGTTTGTCGGCTCCTGGAGGTTCGTTCTCCCACCTCGAGATGCTTCCCAACAGTTGCGCGTCGCCGAGAGCGTTTCTGGGGTGCCCGTTTCGCCCCGAACGGCCGTCGGAAGCCGACGTCTGGCCCGAAAACCACAGGCGACGGGTGCGACGGGTTCGGCCAGGTGTGCCGACGTCTTGCGCGGGGTTTCGACCGATTCAATTGCGCACCCCAAAGGCGACCCCCTCTCTCCCACGGATAGGTTTCGAGCCGATTGGAACGATGACGATCGGGACAATCCTTCGATTTGGGACGCACGGCGCCCTGCGTGCAGCTGCGGAGGAGGCCGCGTCATCCGCAAGGGTGCACAAAACTTCCAGGCTCGCACGCCGTCAGAGATTTAGAGCCATCTCTGCCCGACTGTCGAGCCATTTCTGCCATCTCGCACTCTGGGAGGATTCGGGTCTTCTTTCTGCCGTCGTCGTCCCAGGCATCCAACGACATGAATATTTCAACTCGCGGTTACATGAGCTCCTTGATTGACCCCTTCCCCGGGGGCAGTTTTGATGGCCCCCAATCACGAAAACGACGCCCCCCAGAGGCTTATCTAGAGGAAAACCGCAGCGACTGGACAAGTCAGTCCGCCCGATGTCCGGCCTGGAGAGGAGGATGGAGGGGCAGGAAAGGCAACCACGGGCGCGCCTCTGGCGCCGCCCCAGGGCGCGCTTTGCGCGGCAGGCAGAGGGGAAGAGTCCAGGAGAAGGAGGAGGAAGAGGAAAAGGAGGAGGAGGAGGAGGAGGAAAGTGAGGAACATGAGGCCTCTTGGGGCCCTTGTTGGGCCTTTTGGGGCCATCCTGTCCAGCGCAGATCCAGGGACTCCGCGATGAGTCCCGAAAGTTTTTGCTTACATTCAACCCGCATAATAAGAACGAGCGACGTTTCAAAGCTATCTTCCCCTTCGGCCCGTCCCTGGCCGCTTTCGCTGGCCGCGTCCCGCCCGCAAGGTGTCGGCATGGCCCTCCAAGGCCTTCACGTCCTTGCCGTGCGTCTTGCTTATACGGGTTGCCTTCTTCGCTCAAGTCGTCTGCAGAAGGCGCCTGCAACACCACCACCGTGCCCGGCCAAGGCCGCCCTGGGTCCCTGGGTGGGCCCCCCAGCATGCTGTGCGGGCTCCCGTCCTCGGCCTGGCAGAGGCGCCGACGCCACGGCCGGGGCCCAGGATGGCCTTTGCCGTGGGTGGCCGTTATCGGCAACAAGAGAACCCCCGAACCTAATATTAAGTCGGGCCTGCCCCTCTACAGGATGGACAAATCAAAACAGTCAAAATAGTATGGGGACAATGTTTTGACTATTTTGAGCATTTCTTCTGCATTCTTTGTATAATTTTATGTTTCATCCAAATTCCCCCTGTTGTGGGGGGGGGCAGGCCCGACCGAACGCTAATACTTCGATGATGACGTGGCCTCACTTTGGTCCCCGTCTTCGCATTTGGGACAGTACATCGGGGCGGTCTGCGGCCGCCGCCGGCGCGGCCGCAGCGGCGGTCACCGTCGAGGCCGCAGCGGCGGTCTCGGCAGTCGCCGCGGCGGCGCCGCGGCGGCACGGGCTGCACGGCAAGCTCGGAAGGCGGAGGTCGAGGGTGATTCTGGGCATCCGCCGCCGCCGCCGTCATCGTCGTCATCGTCGTCGTCGTGATCACATTTGGGCGTCCTGGGCGTCCTGGCGAGCCCCGCGGAGGTCCCTGACTCTGATGCATCGGGGGGCGCGACTGACACTGGTGTGGGTTGACCTGGGTCAGTGCGTCCCCGAGCCTGAAGACCGCCCAGGATCCGACGTGGTAATAACGGTTCCGTGGTCAAGCACAGGTCCCGAAAGCGGGCCGAGCGATGTGAAGCGCTCGGGTTTTAACAGCCGGACCCTCGGACATCTGGGAGCGTAGCTCCGGCGGCAGCGGGCCGTGGGCAGGCAGCAGGAGCAGCGCCACCTGCGGCCTTGCCTCGGGCCGCAGCTGTGCGGCCGTGACCCTGCTTTCGAGGGCAAAGTCTACCTTCTCCCAGAAGGCCGACATCTCGGGCCTATCCAAGATGCCGCTTTCGCTTTCTAGCCAGAAGCATCTCTGGACACATGGGGCGTCGTTGCGTACATAGATACATTCGAGGTGGATCGGAGGTTGAGGGGTGAGATCGCCGGGAAACGGAGAGCCCCCGCACCGGGAAATCGGTTTAGGTTTCATGTTCTTGTCGTGCAGGCGGGCGAGGCGAAGTTGCGCGAGCGCACGAGAGGTGTGACCCCGCCGTCGCTGTGGCGATTCGGATGGGCGCGCGGAGGGGCGCGCGGTGGCCCGGGGTGTCCCGCCGTGGTGTTCCGTTGGTGTCCCGTTCGGTGTTTTGTTGGCGGTGGGCGGGCGGTGGCCGGATGTGTCCCGCCTGTGTATCGATAGTTAAGTCGATAGTGAGATCGATGATGAAATCATTAGGATGGGATGGATAATGAGACCAAAACATGGATCGACAGTGAGGTTGAGTGAGACATGTGTTGTGAGATCAATGGTGAGATCGATAGTAAGATCGATATTCAGATCGATAGTGAGATCGAAAGCGAGATCAATAGTGAGAACGATAGTGACATTGTGCCATTACATCGGAGCGCAATATTGTCATATCGCGTCGTCGCTAACTCGAGGGCGCGTCACCAGTATCGTCATCATCACACCCATCGCATTTGCCAGCAGTTGGTTCTTTCCCCCAACCCTCCAACCTCCTGATCACCCGATGGGTGGGCGCATAGGTACGTCTATAGATAGCGCGGCCGTTGCGTTCGGCGCACTACACGGTCGGAGAACGGGGAGATTGGTCTACGGTGTGTAATCTTGTTCTAGAGCAGGTCCCACATGGTGTTCCAAGCCCAGCTTGCGTGGCCTGGGGTTGTTGCTTCAGGCGGAGCATCAGGTCGAAGAAGGGCCAACTTCATAAACATCAGCTCTGGGAGCTCCGCGCGGATTTGTCTTGGATCGGCGCTGGACCCCCAGGCGGCGCCTCCAGCGGAGCGCGCCAGGGAGGGGGGCCCAGCGCCGATTTAAGCAATCCGAGCGGACCTCCGATATTTGATTCGTTTTCTAGAAATTGGGGATAGGCTTAGTTGGCGCCAAGCGATCGCCGATGGGGGCCCGATAGCCCCACCCGCGCGGTTTTGGTATCGGGGGCCCATCGCCGATGCATCGGCGATGCATCGCCGATGTTCCGGGTCGATGTTCCCCTCCCCCCTGAGGCAGGCCCCCCCTCGGACGGGGCTAGGACGAGGATAAATCAGTTCGAGAGCGTTCCGAATCGCTCTCAGGGCGTTCCAGAACACTCTGAGAAGGCTGCGGCGCCCGAGACATGCTCCAGAGCCGCCTGATCTCAGAGCTTCTCGACTTGTTTTCACCCGAATGTGTCCAAGTTAATCCTCGTCCTGGCTTCGTCTTAGGGCGGGCGGGGGCGGCTGCAAACGTGGGCCTCCCGAGCGCCGCCAGGACAGCGACGAGGGCGGGGAGTCCGACGGCGAGGAGCCGTGCGAGGGGGCCCAGGCCGAGCCGCCCGCCGCCTCCGCCGAGGCGGACGAGAAGCGCGCAGGCCTCGGACAGATCAGCAGGGGCGGGCGGCTGCGCGGGGCCGGTCGAGCGTGCGGCCCAGCCAGATCGTCGTCATCGTCGTCGTCGTCGTCGTCGTCGTCGTCGTCTCGCGGCAGCGGCGTCGTCGTCGGCGCCGTCGGGACCGTCGTGGTCGTGGTCGTGGTCGTGGTCGCCGTCGTCGTCGGGGGAGGAGGGGGTCCAGAGACCAGGACAGGCAACTCCAGATCTCCGACGATATGATTTCATGGAGCCGGAAGTCTTTCCTTGTCATCGGGCTACCAGGCCCGTGATCGCGCCCCTGGGACCCTCGAGCACGGATCCGGGACTAACCCCAGAGAAGGGGTCGGGACTTGTATCGTCGCGGATTGAAGACATGTCGGAGTATGTGTGGGCACTTCCTCGCCATGGTTAGATTCGCCTCGAGGGTCTGCCCAGAGCACGCCCCAGAACGGGCCCAAGGAGTAGCGGCGTCGGTATTGTTCGCTACGAAGCCATCGGCAGGTTCACCCGGGACTCTCGTTCAGTCTTTGCCTGCCCAGGCTTTCATCCAATGCTTGTTGCGTGTTGCCTGCTGTTTTCATGTGCGGATGCTGGCCTGTACGCGGTTGCCTTTTCGCTGGCTTCGTGGCGGTGGCTGTTGTCGACACCCCCGCCGTGCCGTGCCGTGCCGTTTTGTGCCATGCTTTAGTGCCTTGCCGTGCCGTGCCGTGCCGCGCTTGTTTTTCAGGTTGAGTCAAGTGTGCGTTGCCGTGCCGTGCCGTGCCGTGCTTTGTCTGCAAATGCACCCGGGTTTTCCGAGACACACTAGTTTGCTTTGCCATGTCGTGCCCGGCCTGCAGACCGCGACAACTCCGCCGTGCCGTGTCGGGTCGTGTCGTGGCCTCCGCACGCTTAATTCGTCTTCGCAGTGCACGGGATCGGCCTAGAGCTGCGATGCCTCCCGACATCCCTGGTCCTTTTGTGCCGGGGTTGGGTCGGGAGAGCTCCGGGGAAGGGCCGGGCCCGCAGGGGCCGTGGTTCGGCCGAGAGCGTGGCTCAGGCCTGCTTGGCAAAGTACCTGGGGGCCGAGACCTCATCTCTCACCTCCCTCCCTCCCTCCTCCCCAATCCACCCTCACCCTCCCCCCTCCCGTATCCCCCCTCCCCAGTCCCCCCTCCCCAATCCCCCCCCTTTCCTCCCTAATCCTCCCCTCCCTCTCGGTCCTCTCTTCTCCCTGTCCCCGTCCGTTTTTGGCTCTCTGCGCCCTCGTTCCTCTCCAGGGTTCCAATCCTGTCTTCCGTCGTCCGTGCCTGCTGCCCGGTCTCTCCCGGGGCTCGTCACGGGGGCCCGACTCGTGGTGCACATATTGGGGGGCGCCCGAACCCTCGGTATAATTTTGACAACCAGGCCCTCTCTTCACAGCGACGCCACATGGTGCACATTGGGTGGGCCGACAGGGGTGCACACTGAGCGCTTGCGTATGATTTGTATTGTGCAGTTCCCAGCGTGCATCACATGCGTCTGGCCATGTGTCCCCAGTGGACCCCATCAATGTGCACCACTTGGTCGGCGTCCCAAGAGCGCGTCACTGGCCGTCCCCAGCGTGTACCGACCTAGCGTGCACCACCCTGTCCCCCAGTGTACCCCATACCCTATGCGCACCACCTTGGTCTGGGCAGCCTGCAGTCCACGGCCGTGGCAGAAGCCGCGCGATTGGCTCAATCCGCGGGACATGCCCAAGCCGGCAGGCAGGCAGGCACAGCCGTGTCTTGCTTCTCTCCTTCCTCTCCCACTTCCTCATTCCTCTCCCCCTCCCTTTTACAATTACTCAATATGAATACTACTCTCCCTCTTCCCCTGATGACGTGCTGGGAGTGTTCGACCCCCCCCCGCGTACTGTTTTTTTACACAGGATTTCCGGGAGTTGGGTTTTCGCTTGCATTTTTTTCAAAATGCTGCTCTCGCTGAGGCGCCGGCCTCATTTTCGGGCCCCGCTCGTTCCGAATCGTGCTCCCGCTGCAGCGCTGGCCTCATTTCCGTGCTTCCGCTCGTTCCGAATCGTGCTCCCGCTGCAGCGTTGGCCTCATTTCCGCGCTTCCGCTCGTTTCGACTCGTGCTCCCGCTGCAGCGTTGGCGTCATTTCCCGTGCCTTGCCACGGCATGCAATGCAATGCTAGGTTGATTTTACGTTTTGCGGTGCTCTTCTACGCCATGCCATGCCGTGCTCTACAATGCATCGCGTACCCTTTCGCGATCATTGCCCTGCTCGACATCGGACTGTGCGAGTAGAGAGGGGATCTACGCCATGGTAAGGGATGGGAGGGAGGGGTAGGATGTAAGATATGACGCGAGCGCACCTAGCTTCCCCTTCCCCCCTCCCTCCCGCCCCCGTCCCTTTCCTTTTTTCTTTCCCTCCCCTCTCCGTCTCCCTTTCCCGTTCCCCCTTGTCCTGTCTCTCCGCCCTCCGCTTCCCCCCGTTTTCCCCAGTGTCATTCCCTTTCCTGCCCAACTGTTACAATCAGGCGGCCGCGGGGGGCGCCTTGGATTAATGGTGGCGCGTCTCGTGGCAGCGCCGGCAAACACTCCTCGTTCGAACGACAACCACGCGCGGCGCGATGCGTGGGCAACCGCGTTGAATCCCCCGCCGCGCGGTCAGCAACAACCTGCCTTGATTGTTGCGTCCGCGTTGTGGTTTCTGATTGCAGGATTTCCCACGACGCGTCGTTTCTCATTCTCAACGCACAGATACCCCCCGACCATTTCGTGAGAGCGTTTTGTCCTGCCCGACTTGTGGCGCCGAGTTGTGGGAGCGTTAGGTGGCGCCGATTTGTGCCATCAAGCGTCGCGCATGTTGCCGCCCCCGAGGGCTTATGCGGGAAAAGTTCGCGCGCCGCCGCGCAAGCGAGGCGAAAGAACATCCTGCTCGCGCTTGCGCCAGCCGTCGCGCCCGAACAACAGGCGCGGCGAATGCCCTGGTCGTCCGTTGGGCGCGCCGAGAAACCTCAAGGCGCGACGTGCGGCACATTGGTCGCGCAAGTGAGCCGCGCCCGAGAATTATCGTAGGTGTTTTGTTAAGCATCAAGATCACCTGCCGATGTAGCCGTGACGAGTATTGCGTTGTCGGCCGGCTGGAAGGGGATTCGGATTCACGCCAAGCGCAGGCCAGGAAAAACGCACTGGAGAGGGGCCCCAGTCCGCGGTCCGGCCAGTGGCTGCGTCGCGGTCGGCTATGGTTTGTTCCGTTCTGTCCGGTCGGCTGTTGTGTCGTTGTTGCGTCGCCGCGTTTTGCTGCGTTGTTCGCGGTTGCGTTGTCGGCCCGTGGTTCGCTGTCGGATTAGCCGTTTTTTGGCAGCGCTTTCGGCGCAGGTTTCATGTAGTTAGATCCCTAGGGCCTAGAGCCGACCTCGGAATGCCCAGGGCCTTGGTATTTGGCGCACGCCGTGGTCGGAGGCGCAATCTTACGGCGCCTCATTGTGGGTACGTCACGCTGCGGATACAGTTGGGCCCTCCCATGGAGGAGGATTCTGGTAGTCACCACATATCATCGTGATCCGAGGACAGGGATCGATCTATATCCACCGCCCGACGAACAGATATTCATTGACTTTTGGATGCGATTGATATTGATACGATCGGGCCCATGAGGCCCAGCTGTATCCATATTCGCCGTCCCCTGGGGTACCAGGACATCGTTTCCCAAGGCGGTGCGTATAAACGCTGCATTTGTGCCCGGTGATGTCGCTCGCAGCCAGGACAACCATGCGGAGGCAAGCGCCAGCCTTCCTTGCACAGTCCTGATGCGTGTTTGGTTGTTTGATGGTTGTTGTGTTGAGATGGCGGCTGTTTGGTTTAGAAGCGAAGGTATTCATCGAGCTGTAGCTGACTTCGGCAAGCGAAGTTACATCTCGAGTGGAATTTCAAAAAACGAAGTGCAGCATTTCAGAGTGTGTTGTTCTGCATGCTGTGGCTTCCCCTCCAGTCAGCTCGGTGGCCCTTCGACGACCTTCCCCCGTCGAGATTGCATGTGTGTAACAGTTGCGTCTTTCAGGCATGTGTGTATCAGTTGCGTCAGTTCGGCTCCCCAGGCACAGCTGGATTCACTTTTCATTTGTTTGCGATTCCCATGTATGGAAACGCTCGCACGGAAAGATTCAACGCGATTCGCGGCGAAGCGGGACCAGGTGAACAGCGAGGAGGAAGGAGCGACGAATAATGAGGATGCAGGACGGACTAAAAGGATGATGGTGGAGGAGTTTGATGGAAGTACAACTGATGGGGAGGGGAAGTAGGAGGAGGAGGAGGAGGAGGAGGAGGAACAATAGGAGGCGTCGGAAGTGGCATGCGGGTCGTGGCCCCGCCAGCCTCTGTCCGAGCCCCCCACGGGGCCGGCTTCAAAAGGAGGCCAGCAAGGGACTGCAACAACGCTTAGGGACAGCCAGGCTCCGGGGAAACCCCCATATTTGGGCCAGTGGAGCCGCTGGGGCCGCATGCCCGCGGGCGGCGAGGACCAGGAGGAGAAGGTTCCCCCGCGCCCCCCCCCCCCCCCCCCTGGCAGTATCGTTCCGAGTCGACGTGGCGGCGACCCCAGCGCGGGCGTTCAGTGTTGACCGCCGCCAGCGGTACAGAATCGGCCGTGCTCGAAGGGTCTGCGCTGACGGACCGCCGCGATCGTTCCTGGCGGCCTGAGCCAGGCCAAACATTAACGATCTCAGCTGTCGGATATCGCCGAACGCTCAGAATTGAGGGATCCACCCGTCGAAGAAGGGCAACTTGCGTGAATAAATCAGTTGGGGGGTCTGCGCGGATCTCCGAAAGCGTATGCTTATGCAGCTTTTTGGGATCTATTCTGACGGGGTCTCAGAGGCCATCGCCGAGGCCGTCATGACACGAGCCCGCGGTACCTGCCCGAGAGAGGTGGCGGGGTGAGCGTCAGGCACAACGTGAGGGGGGGGGAGGCTCTGGGGTGGGGGGTGCATCGGCCCCCAAACTTCCATGTCATCGCCGATGTGGGCCCGATTCTCCCACCCCGCGCAGGGAAGTGCGCTTTCAACGTTGGGGGCCTAAACGCCATTATATTGGCGATGTACAGGCACAGGCAACCCGCATAGTGAGGATGAGCGAATGTTCAAGGTTTCCCCTTGCATCCTTGTCCCTCCGGCCCATCCCTGGCGCTACTTCATTTCCGCGGACCGCGCCCCGCCCGCAAAGTGTCGACATCCTAATCCTTGCATACTTCCCCCGCATCCTGCTTTTTCTAGTTCACTGTATCGCCGATTCCAGCTCGATGTTTGGTGCCAGTCCCCCCTGAGGTATTGCCCCTGCATGGGGGGATGGGGGGGGGGGGGGCTGGGCCTGGGCCCCCCATGAATCAACAGGCGGCGCCGCCGCCTCGCCGCCGGAAGTGGACTCGGCGCCAGCCGCGGCTCCGCCGCCACCCCCCCGAGCAAGGAGGAGGGATATCGACCGGGTGGTAATGGGGGGTGACCCAAACGGGGGGTGAAGAATAGGGCCCTGAAGGGGGCCTCTCGAGCCCCTTTTGGGACCAGCGGGGGCTCCGAAAGGGCCTATGAAGCCTGAAGGGCACCTTCAGGGCCCTGTTCTTTCCCCATTTGGGTCACCCTCCACTACCACCCGCCCGAGGAGAGAGGAGGGGAGGTAACCTCAGGAGGTCTTTAGTTTGGGAGATCTCCCCCCTGTTTTCTCTCGGCGGGGACTATAAATCCGCCCCTCCTCCTCCTGCTCCTCCTCCTCCTCCTCCTGTTCCTCCTCTTCCTTCTATATACTTCCTCCTCGTTGTCGTCGTCGTTTTTGCGCCGCGGGTGCCGCGGAGAAATAAGTCTTGTCCACTATTGGTGGGACCCCAGTCCGTCAATAAGGGCGTCGAAATAATAATGTGTTTTCACTATTGGGAGAAGGTTCTAAAGACCTATCTCAATTAGCGACTCGGACATCCTCACGTTGTGAAACATACGCGACGGACTGCCTGTGTCTTCCTATCTTCAGCCTGGAGGGGCCCTCACAGAAGAACTCGTGATACAACAAATGACCTAGAGAGAGAGTCGTAACAACCGAGGACCCTGTAGTGGATAAGTTTAGATTTCGGATGTATGGAGATAACGAGGAGCAGGGATGGGGAGGAGGACGTTAGACTCAAAGTTCCGACGTACTTGCATGTTTTGTTGTTCTCCCCTGGCCAGCTTCTCGTCCCGAGTAGTGTTATAATGGTTTCGGGGCCCAGCGAGGGCCTCCTTGAGGAAGATAACCGATGCAGGCCTGGTTTCGGGACCATGCATCGGCCCTCTGGCGGTTGTTCGGGATGATTCTGGAAAACATCCAGCGGTCAATGAGATCGAACGAACATCGAGAAGGAGGAGGAGTCGGAGGCAAAGAAGGAGCATTCACTTGCAACCATTTGCGAAACCTCTGCGGGCCCTATCGACGCCAAGGCATCGGACACCACCGCTGTGGTTAACCTGGGTGCAGACATCCTTCGAATCATCAACCTCACCAGCGTGTCAGACATCCGACCTGCAGGGTTAGCGTTTCAATGTTGCTGCCTAACCCAGCCCCCCGACGTCAGCAATTTCTCCCAACGTCGACCCGCAGAGGTCTCGATTCATGCCCCGGGACCAGTTCCTTATCCCGAGTTGTTGTTTTAAAGGTTCTGGTCCCGGGCGAGGGGCCCCAAAGGCCGAAATTAGCAAAGACAGTTCCGTCATGTTTTTGTTCGCGACGCGAGGGGTTGGGGATTCGCAGATCGAGAGTCGCTGTTTTTCGTAGGGGGCCTCCAACCTTGGGGGCGGGCGGCGACCGGCATCCAGCACACGCTACCGCTCCCGCCCGAACGCCAGGGTGAGGGGGCTCCGGCGCCGCGCTCAGGGCCGCGCACGCTGTCCTTGCGCGTTGTGTTGCCCTCTCTTCCCTCCTCGCGGCGACTGATGATCCATCCGACGATGTGAGTTTTGCGTTTTCCGAAATTTTGGCTTCGAAGGGGCCCCATAATCGTCAAACATGGATCTTGTGCGCAAAGCTACCCCCAGGGAAGGGGGGGCGGTACCATTGTGGGTCCGCGTAGTGAGCAAAAGCAGGTCGGAAGATGTCTGGCTCCCTCCCTTCCTCCCTCCCCCCCTCTCCTCAGGCGTAACGCTGGGCAGATTTGCTCAGGGCTTTTACGGTTCTCGGCGGTTTTCCAGTCTCGGGATGCTTTCAAGCAGCTGGGCCTCGCCGAGCGCGTTCTGGGGTTGTCCGGATCTTTCCGAACGGCCGCCCGAGAGCAAAGTTGTGAGCCGACAGCCAGGGGGCAAGGTTAGGGTCAATCCGGGCCTGTCCCTCTACAGGAGGGATATTCCAAAATATTACAGGAGGGATATTCCCTTTACATGGGGACGATGTTTGTTTTGAATCGCATTTTTTTGTATATTGTTGTTGAATATTTTTGGGGTACTTTTTATTGTTCGTCCACAAATCCGCCTGTAGGTGGACACGCCCGACCTACGTAAGGTTAGGAAGGGAGAGGTTCAAGGGAGAGCGCATCGGCCCCCAATCGCCCGTTCATCGCCAGGGGGGGCCCGATGGCACCGCCCCGCCCAGGAGCGTGCGGTCTCGCTGTCGGGTGCCTGAGCGCCGATCAATCGGCGACGCATCGCCGATTCCAGGGCGAGAGTTTCTCGCCCTCCCGCCTGAGCGGTTCTTTCCCTGTCGTTCCTCCTCCTCCTCTTCTCCACCGCGCGTCGTCGTAGCCAGGCCTCCAAGGGCCCACATTGTACACTCAAGCCAACGCTCGCGCGGAAGCCTCGTTTTCAGAGAGAATGTAGCCGGCGTCGAGGCGAGAGCGCGCGGAACCGTTCCCGGAGATCCACAATAATGATTATCTAGAAATGAGTATTCAACAACAATAAGAACAGCCTAATACCAGTACTCATTATGACAAGCTTAATCATCATAGTAATCATAATGATTGGACATACCATTATTGTCATTATCACATGATTAGTCACAACAGTAATAATGATAACAAGAAGAGTATGATGATACTGATCATGTTAACATAATAAGACACGAATGATGATACTAAACTAAACATAATAATGTTGAGACTGCGCGTTATTATCTGCTCGCGTGACATTCAACACGTGTACCCCAAACCCTCGATACCCGCCCTCTTCATTTTCGATCGTACCCCCCTTGGGGGTATGTATATCTTTCTTACGTGCAACGTGTATTTCGTGCAGCCCCTGAGGCAGATGAAGACAGGACGGATGGAAGGAAGGGACAAGCGGAAAGGAGGAGGATGGAGCACGAGAAAGAGTAGCAGACGGGGGGCTAGGGGCAGACAACGAATGGCAGAGCCAGATTGGCAGATCGGGCGGATAGGCCCTAACGGGCGGGTCGGGAAGGCGGGCCCACGCGGCCAGATCGAGCAAGTTCGGCTTTCTATTTCCGAGCTAGATCGCATGTCGTGTCACCCCGCCTCCAGTCCGATCTTCCCGCGTAGCGAAGTGATCAAAACATCAATCAATCCTTGGAGATGCGGGCCGTGGCTCTCTGTGCTCGAGGCCCTCGGTGGCCCCACCCTCCCTGGCCTCCGCCAGGGTGGGATGGCGGAATCCAGTTCTTACGGTAGGCTTCAGTCGGGCCTGTCCCTCGACAGAGGGAATCTGCAAAAATTGTCAGAAAAATAGTCCAGGGACTATTTTTGTTTAGTATTTCGGTGCATTTGTTACAACATGTTGGGGTAGTTGTTTTTTGTCAAAAATCCGCCTGTAGGGGGACATGCCCGACCTAACAGTAGGCATATCAAACATGACATCTGCTTGCAAGTGTCACAGAAATGTCGCACCTCCCGCGCTCCAAGACCCACAGGCGCTCTGGGGCGGCTCAGGACCCGCGAAGAACGACGAAACAATGTACCCCAATATTTCTCATGGCAGGATTTCTTACTGTTTGTGTCTACTGCAGGTCATAATGCGCCCAGGGGATAGGGGGGGGGGGGGGGCAACATGGAAACGACACCACAGCGCAGATCGAGGCGCTGCCGGAGGGCCGCGGCCACGCCGCCGTGGCTCCCCTCTCCGAGCAGGCCGCGCTCGACCGCGAGGCCGAGGGATGGGCTGAGCAATGGGCGGCCCAGTGCGAATACCATGAGCCGTACTTCCCGGAGCACTTGCTCTCGCAGCCCCAGCCGATCACCATGTGGAGTTTGGACCAGGCCATTGCCTCTTTTCCGGTCGGTGCGGGCTTAGGTGCCGACCACCTGGCGCCGAGGGCCATCCAGCGGCTTCCGATTGCGGCCCGCATGTTGCTCATCCACATTCTTCTCGCTGCTGAGCGGCTCGGTGGGTGGACTGCTGCATGCAACCTGGTGCTGATCGTGCTGTTGTGGCCAAGTCCGTAGCCATTTTGGCTCAAGCCGTTTCCCGGGCACCCCCCCGGGGTTAGGGCTCGAGCTGGCGCAGGGGAGTCGCGGCCCCTACTGTTACTCGCACTCCCCGGCTGCCGAGGTGTGCGCTTTCGCTTAGTGAGCCAGACCACTCGAGTCTGGTAGCTTTCTTTCTGACACCACGGTTCTCTTTCCTACCGCATCCGTTCGGCCATGGCTGGCGATGACCCGGATGTGCTGCCCGGCCCGCGGCAGCCTGTCTGGTCATGTACGACATGCGGCCGGAACTCCAATTGGGCTTGCCGGGTCCGCTGCCAGTGCGGCAAGGCGGCCCCAGCTAAGGTCGCCACCCGCGCACGCCAGAATGCTGTGCAGCCTGCTCGTGCTTTGCCTCGGCCTCCTGGTGGAGTATGGGCTGGGAATCGTGGCGAGCCTCGCGACAAGCTTCAAGAGCAGCTGTCGAACCTCACCAAGTTGCCGAAATCGACCGCTACGCCAGCGACGCCGGTTTCTCCTCCTGCTGCTGATCGTGGTGGTGATGATGTTTAGGACCTACTGCTTGCCAAGGTGCAGTCCTTCGAGGAGGCCGTTAAAGCATTGGCCACCCTTGACAAGGAGTCCCCAGTGCGCAAGTCGGTGGAGGATGAACTTGCAGCTGCCCGGTTGGCGCTGCGACAGTCGAAGTCCCCCATCGTGCAGCACATCAGTACAACGCACAGGCTCTCCAAGGCCCAGAAGAAGCTGGCGAAGCTCCAAACCGATGTGGCTCAGCAGACTGAGCTGGTCAGCCAGGCTCAGTTGGCTTTACAGGAGATGCAGTCCAAGGCTAATGCTGCCCAGTTGGAGGTGGAGGCCCTCAAGAAGGAGTCCGCCTCTAACATGCCCGTGCCGGTCGACCCCTCCGCCCTCGAAATCGACCCCGCGTATTTTGCGGACGCGGCCAATGCTGATGTTAAGGCTATGCTTGAGACGGATACCTTCCAGAAGTACGCCAAGAAGCTCCAGGAGCCGGGTCGAGTCAAAGTCCAACCGCCCCAGGGTCCACCTCCACCCGAGGCCCCGGACCTGCCCGTGCCGCAGTCTGCTGAAGACTTGGGGGAGGAGGATATTGAAGAGATTGTTCAGGCCTTCCAGTCCCAGGGAGGGGGGGGGCAAGCGAGCTCTCTCTGACGCTCTCGCCAAAGCGGGGGTCAAACGAGTCAAGGTGGCCCATCAGCCAGCAGAGGGGTAACACCCTGCAGGGTGATTTTTGGCCTCAGGTGTCTGGTTTACCGATCTCCCGCTCTGGGTTCTTCGTCCCAGGGCATCGTGGTGCCCCGCAGGGTTCAGATTCACAGGAGTCGCCTGCAGGACACTCGTTCGAGACATTTGACGGCTCGTGCTGGACAGCCCTGAGGGCCAGACTGGCCGCTTCGACAGCTATCGTATGTTGCGCCCAGGAGATCGGGATCGCGCCGGACGTTGTAGGCCAGGCCACCGCCGCAGCCAGAAGTCTGGGATGGAGTCTGTCATGCAGTTCATCGGTTCGTAACCCAGAGACGGGAAAGCTATCGTCGGGGGTGGCTGTTTTCGCTCGTCATCAGGTTGGCCTTCGCTGGCATCTGGATGCCGAGGGGTCCGGCGATATCGTGCCAGGCCGTTTGATTTCGACTTTCGTCGATTTGCTTGGATGGCCCCCTTTGCAGGTCCTATGTGGGTATTTCCACGCTGCACAGGGTTTAAGTTTGACAAACCTTGATATTATGGCCACGGCTGGCCACAGCATCCAGAACAGCAGCCGGGAGCATGTTATCTTCGGCGCTGATTGGAATATGTCTCTTGCTCTTGTGGAGGAGCCAGGTTCCCCGAGACGTCTTGGGATGTTGACCTTGGTGCCTACAAGCGCTAATCCAAAAGCCTTAATAAAAAATAATTCAAATTTTAAGCGCACCCCCTGGCGGTTCTGCAGCGGCTGCAGCAGCCGGTGCAGCGCCCCTGGGGTTCTGCACCTCCGAACCCTCGGAATGCGAAAAAGGTATTTTTTGAGATCGGATCATTGTCTCTTTGTTTCTGTCTCTCTGTCTCTGTCTGTCTTTCTCATTCTCAATAGATCTTAAAGCTTTGTTCTATAGTATGGTTTGATTTGCGGTTGGTTTGCGCACTTTCGCGTTTCTCGTATGCGCACTGCCGTTTGCTTCTCAGCGTCCAGAAATATAGTAAACATGTGGTAGTTCCGTGCGCGGTCTTCGCGGTGGCACATTTCACCCCGTTTGGATTCGCACTTTATGGCCCCATGGTTGCGTCTAAAGTGCGAGCAAACCATTAGGGTGACAACTATTTCCCCCTATGTGTTTTGCAAACCTAGTAGTGGAAAGAAAAAGAGTTTTGCTCGCACGGTTTTCGGTGTGACGCGCGTCGCCCCAGTGTGGTTTTACGTCCCCCATGTTGGCGTCCAGGGGATGAATGCATTGAAATAATTGTAGTTTCACATCCTGTGTGGTGCCAAATTGAATCCCCCATGTCGGCGTGACACGTGTCGCCCCTGTGTGATTTGCTTTTTTTCTTCTTCTCACAAGGTGTTCGTGATCGCGCGCTGTTGCCCTGCTGTAATTCAATGAGAATGGTCTCATCATGTGTTTTGATTTGTTTCGTTTTCCTTCTTCTCCCTCTCTCTCTCTCTCTCGCCTGCGCCATATCTTTCTCGTTTTTTTACCGGTGTCAGTCGTTATCCCACGCGTGTATGTGTGTGTGTGCGTGCGTGCGCGCGCGTGCGTGCGTGCGTTTTTTTGTATTATATATATATGTGCTCTTCTCTCTCTCTCTCTCTCTCTCTCTCTCTCTCTCTCCCTCTCTCTTTCTCTTTTTTTGTTTGTTTTCTCTCTCTCTCTCTCTCTTTCTCTTTCTCGCTATCTCTCTCTCTCTCTCTCTCTCTCTCCCTCTTTCTCCATGTGTTGTTTCTCTTTCTCTCTCTCCCTCTCTCTCTCTCTCTCTCTCTCTCTCTCTCTCTCTCTCTCTTTCTCCCTCTCTATCTCTTTGTCTTTCTCTATAATTATGTGTTTTTCCTCTCTTTACCTTCTCTCTCTATCTTTCACTCGCTCTCTCTTTCTGCCTCTCTCCTCTCTCTCTCTCTCTCTGTTTCTCTCTCTCTCTCTCTCTCTCTCTCTCTCTCTCTCTCTCTCTCTATATATATATATATAATCTCTCTCTCTCTCTCTCTCTCTCTCTCTCTCTCTCTCTCTCTCTCTCTCTCTCTCTCTCTCTCTCTCTCTCTCTCTCTCTCTCTCTCTCTCTCTCTCTCTCTCTCTCTCTCTCTCTCTTTCTCTCTCCCTCTCTCTCTATATATATATATATCCCTCCCTCTCCCTTGCCCTCTTCTTATTTCGGTTCTCGCCTTCTCGCCCCGTCCCCCCATCTCTTCCCGTCTTGCGCCCCCCCCCCTGCCTCTTGCTTTTCCCCACCGAGCAAGCTCAAGCCGCGAGCTCCGCGGCGGACCCCCGCGCGGCGCTCGCCCGGGCCCACGCGTGCCGCAGTCGGCGCCAGCGGCCCCATTCCGCTAGGCGCCGCGGCCGCTCGGCCCAGACCTCGCCCCCGCGGCCGAGGGCCGCGAGATGGCGGCGCAAGACGACGCGCCCAGGGCGCGCGCAGGCCGCGGCGGTTGCCAGGAGGCCGCAGCGGCGGCCGAGGAGGACTCGGGCGATTGGGCGCAAGAGGGCCGCAGTGGCGGCCAGGGGGAGGGGAAGTGGCGGGGTGGCCCGCGGAGCGGCTGGGGGAGCTGGAAGGGCTGGGACTACGGGCGGCGGGAGACGCGAGACTGGTGGATTGCGCGGCAGGAGGCCGAGAGCGAGGGGGAGCTTGCTCGCGGGGCAGTGAACCGCTGCCCGCTCGAACAGCTGATGGACGAACGCGGACTTCGACGCCGCCAGGCCAGTCCAGTCCAGGCCGCAGTGGCGGCCCGCCCGTCGTCCACGGACGGCCCCTCAAGCCGTTGGACATCGACCCTCGAACCAGCAGCGGCAGCGCCGCCGCCAACGGCAGGACCGCAGCCCCCCCCCCCCCCCCCCCCCCCCCCCAGGTGCCACCCCTAAGCGCGACGCAGCCCCGCCGCAACGCCCAGTGCAGTTGCGTCTCCGGGAACCCCCACCGCCCGCAGAGATGCTCAGGGAGCGCTCGCGAGACAGAGCCCCTGCCGCCGAGGTCGGGCAAGAGAGTGCCGCAGTGGCGGCGCCCGCAAGGGCGGTCGACCTATGTGTTTTCGAAAGTCGCCCGGCCACGGGCTCGTGCCGCCAGCGCAGCGCTGCGTTGAAGTGGCTGCGCCGTGTGGCCGAAACCACAGGAGGAGATGTCGTCTGCGGGGCAACCATGCAGATCGGCAAAATCTGGACGCCGCCTAAGAAAAACAAAGGACAACACAACATGCACTACGACTTCTGGGACGGCGAGGAAGTCTCGTGGAGCTGGCTGGAGATGATCGCTCAGATGAGTCCAGAAACTAGGGCGCAGGTGGTCAACGGGCCTGATGGCTGCAGTGGCGGCCTCGTTCGGCGCGTGGTGTCCGCCCGCCCCGAAAGCTACGACCACCGACGCTGCTTCGCCCCCTGGCACCGCAGGGGCGACAAACGCGGCGAACACCAGGACAACTACGACTTCGTGGTCTACCGCAAGGGCTTGTCTGTTGTCCGCTTCCACCCCAACTGGAAAACCAAGGAATTCGACCTGTGCGAGGCGGACCCGCGCGCATCTACCGCGCCTCCACCCAGGGGTGGCTGCGGCGGCAGTAATGGCGCTGGCACGTGCCAGCGCTACAAGCACCTCGACAGGGCGGGGGCTGGCAGGTTCGACAGAGAGCGCGGCAACGGGATGCCTCCAGGCGACTTGGGCTACCAGTCGGGCCGCAAGCAGTGATAGGGCGGCAGCGCAGGCCGCAGCGGCGGCCGCCAGTTGTAGGAATCGCAGACCAGCTTCCGCCACTGCCTTTTCGGAGGCTTTGCGACGCATGAGGTCGCGTGAACGAATTAAGTCGCGT